GTGATTTCGGTGTTTATTTATTGAAAACATACCGTAAGTAGCGTTTTTTAAGTTTACCCTGAATATGAATGTTTATTAACTATACTTTAAGGAATAATTTCATGGTAAACGTTAGAACCACTCAAACGGAATATTATCAGATTTATCCAAGTACACCTAAAATGTCATTAGTGCTTTTTAAGTGCAGGATTTGCGGCGTATTACTGCATTTTATTTGAGATGTTTTTGTTGGTAGTACGAAGGGTATTTATTTAGCAATGCAGAATATTAATTTTTTTTATAAAAACTTGTATTTAAACTGAATGCTTTTCTAATTTGCGAAACCAAATAGCCGCCATTTTGCGGTAGGAGGAGCGCATCGCGTGAGCGGGTATCATCGGACACACTTATCAGGTAATAACGTACGCACTCAACATAGTCCCGCACTAAGGAACCCTTGTATCGTGGGTGCCATGGACACATATACAGACAACCACAAATTACACCCAAACTCACGAGAGAAACAAATGTAGGCCATACATATGTTTCTCCCGGCCCGGAATAAGAACCTGGGACCTCGGCGTGGCAGTCCGGCATGGTAAACCGTTCGGCCATAAAGGCATCTCTTAGACTCGTCAAGCATTTAGACGCCATCCAGCTGAAAGACGTTTTCTCGAAGGACCCTTTATACTCTGTAGGGGAATTTATGGACCTTCAAATGCAACGCTATTGATTATTTCCTATTTTATTTTTATACAGTTTTATCTCATTGACATACTTTTGTTCTATTTATTGCCTTTCGATGTTATTGTTATGAACTTAAAACGGTCCTTGACAAGAACAATATTTGCAATATGTAATGACAACAACATTATTAATGAACTGCCATTTTTTGTTTGACAATTTCAATATAATTTCCTATAGCTACTTTGACATGTAATGCAATTATTACTCTAACATTATTCTTGAGAATTAAATAGTCTAATCTCCTTCTTCTCCGAAAGGACACCTAAAATACGTCTACTACAAGTTCTAACGCCAAAATAAATTAGCCAATAGTCGCTGCCAACGTGTGGCAGTCCCCTTAAGGTCAGATATAACACAACAATAATTTTACCTGTTACGAAAAATCTCGAATGCGTCATGTTAACGTAATGTCTTTCGCATAAGTCTGTACTTGTTATCTCAGCGTATCAATCACACAACCTGCCACTTTTGTCTTTTTGTTTGTTTATTAGTCACATGCATAAGTTCAAGTATGTTAATTATGAGAACTTTAACAGTAAACACCTTTGCAGGCACTATTCTGATATTTATTGTTAAATTCTGTTTAACCACATGTTTAGCAACGATTTCAACTGGCGCTTCAAAAAAATTATATATATTTTAACCTAATAATTAACCCTCCTTTATTGGCTCAAATTTCTTTTTTTATCCCGTCAATATCACGTTACATCCTTCGTCCGCGCCAATACCCTTTGTTTAACTTTCATTTAACCCGCATAATGACACTAAGACGGACACCATTCTTCGAAGCCCTAGCCGTAATCGAATACTTAAGTAGGACAAATAATATTGTCATGTTCAGCAACACTGAATCAAAATTCCTAACATCCGCTGGTTACTATTTGGAGACGGTCACTGCCCAAAGTTCTGTGGTCCAAATTCCGCTACTTAGCCTTGGCCGGTGATCAATTCAAGCTTTATGTGACTATGACTTACTTGTTTGGTTATAAGTACTGTAAGTGTAAGTTATACAAAATAAATAAATAAATAAACAATATTGTAACTCCATTTAGTTTCTCTTTTGAGCGTTACGATAGTCTTCATCGTTTTTTTTAGGTTAAGAATCTGCACATATTACCGGAAATACATACTTTCATATGTCTTTCATTAAATTATCTTCTCATTATTATAGATGTCCGAAATCTCTTCTCACCGAAGTCCCAATAAACATTTTCGTAAAAAACATGGTTTTCACTGGGTACTCAGATACTGATCCTGAAACTAAATCAGCTGCAAATGACTCACTGGCTAATCTTGAAAAGTGTTTTGGGGAATTTATCGCTCCCCTAACGAACAGTAAAACGGCCTCGTGAACTTCGTGAATGGCGATATAATTATAATGTTTCGAGGTTTTTACAAATAGCTTTTTATCAAACCGGGCAAACAATTTGCAATCGCTGACATGACAATTTATGTAACTAAAAACTGTCAAACATTTTCGGCAAGTGTGACACTCTCCTTGGCGACTCTCGTCCAAAGAGACTGCCACAGCCAGCCGGTGATAATAAGGGGCGTCTAACGCCGCCACATCACCCCCCCACGGACTGAAGAAACCGAACTTATAAACAAAAATTAGCCTATTCAACAAAATCACTAAAATCTTTAAAACGCACATGCCTTCCTGACCGGGTCGTGTAAGGAGTGCCGGGCGAGGAGGTGGTTAGTTTATCTGAAGGAACTGAAGACGGCAACTGCGGCGGGACTGTAGTCAGGGGATGGGAGGGGGTGGCACAGCAGGTGGGGGTCGAAAGTCATCGATGTGCGCAGGTTTCACACGATCGATGCTGACGGTGACTTTCCTTCCACCGACGTCAAGCGAAATTGTCTTGTCCCTTCTATCGAAGACGCGGTGAGGTCCGGAGTAAGGCGGTTGCAACGATCTTCGAGACGTGTCGTCCTGAAGAAATACGTAAGTGGCCGTCGCCAAATCCTTAAATATACAAGACGAAGGCCTGTCGTGGTGAGAAGCAGGAACCGGCCGAATCGACACCATCGCACGTCTCAATTGTATTATTAAATCAAATATCTCTGCGGGGCTGATTAGTTTAGGAGGAGCAACAATGAACTCGCCAGGAAGGCGGAGGGTCTCGCCGAAAACGAGTTCCGCTGATGACGCATTGATGTCCTCCTTACAAGCTGTCCGCATGCCGAGAAGCACCAGAGACAACGCTCTCGTCCACTTATCAGCGTGACACATGAGAGCTGCCGATGGAGGCGTTCCACCATGCCATTGGCGCAAGGATGATAACTGGTGGCGCGGATTCTTTTCGCTCCGCAGAAATCCATGAGTCGCCGAAATAGCGTCGACTCAAATTGACGCCCCTGATCGGTGGTGACGATGCTAGGAACACCGAAACGGGCAATCCATCCTGACACTAATTTATCGGAAACTTCTTCTGCAGCTCTCGTCACCATCAGCCAAACCTCCAGTGTGTAACGGTCTATGGCGGTCAAACAATAACTGAAACCGTTAGAACACGGAAGTGGGCCGATGATGTCGATGTGCAGATGACGGAATCGACTGGTAGGTTGATCAAATCGACCAACAGGTGATTTAACATACCGCGATACCTTGCTTCTCTGGTACTGAACGCAGCAACGTGCCCACTCGCGACAATCTTTGTTGATGCTAGGCCGCACGTAGCGACTTGCTACCAAGCGTAAAGATGCCCGTGCACCAACGTGGCTGAGGTTATGGCAACGGTTGAAAGCAGCTCGATGGAACGGCGAAGTGAGGTAACGTCGAGGACGACCGGTTGCGGTATCACATATTAGAGTGATGTTGGTGTCCGGGATCACAACCTGTTCCAATTTCAAGGCCGATTCTTCTTGCATTTTCGCCAACTCTTTGTCAGACATTTGAGACTGAGTTAGTGCGCCGAAATCGTCTTCGAGTGAAATCGCCTCGATGCGGGATAAAGTGTCCGCGACGACGTTATCTTCACCCCTAAAATATTGAATGTCAGTTGAAAATGGGCTAATAAAAGATAGCTGGTTCAGTTGCGGTGGAGATAATTTTTCACGACGTTGTACGAAGGCGTACAGCAGTGGCTTATGGTCAGTATATATAGTCACGTGTTGCGCTTCGAGAATGTGGCGAAAATGTTGTACGCTTTCGTACACCGCCAGCAAATCCCGATAATAAGCAGGCAATTGAGCTTGCCGAGGAGTAAATTTCCTGCTGAAAAAAGCGAGAGGATTCCAGGCACCGTCCACCTCTTGCTGAAGGTAAGCACCAACATGGACACTTGATGCATCGGTAAATAATCTAAGGGGTGCATCCATGATCGGGTGTTGCAATAACGTGGCACTAGATAGGCAGGCTTTACAGGTTTCGAAATGCTCCAGAAGCTCCGGCGTCCATGAGAATGGTTTAGTGCCTTTGCCATTGGTAGAGACGACAGCGTCAATTAAGGGAGCCTGAAATTTAGCAGCGTGAGGAATAAAACGTCTATAAAAATTTAACATGCCCAGAAAACGGCGCATACCCTGTACGGTTTTGGGAGGAGGAAAATCCAGTAGGGTTTGGATTCATTCTTGCGGAGGGCGAGTGCCATCGGGAGTTATAACGTAACCGAAAAATCGGGCGTCTCTTACTCCAAAATTGCACTTGGAAGGGTTCAAAACAACACCATAATCATGAAGGCGCTGGAACAGAGTCCACAGGTGGTCCTTGTAGAGAGCCTCGTCCTTAGAGAATATGAGGATATCGTCCACATAAGGAAAACAGAAATACAAACCCCGTGTAACCTCATCGATGAACCTTTGAAAGGTTTGACCCGCATTCCTCAAGCCGAAGGTCATGAATGGGAATTCGAAGAGGCCAAATGGAGTGGTGATAGCTGTCTTGGGAATGTCCTCTTGTGCCACAGAAATTTGATGATAAGCCTTTACCAGGTCAAGTGTGCTGAAAACGATGGCTCCGCTGAGGCTGTTGGCAAAGTCATGAATATGCCTCACTGGGTAACGATCCGGAATGGTCCTGGCATTCAGACTGCGATAATCGCCGCAAGGGCGCCAGGTGCTGTCCTTTTTCAAGGTCAAGTGCAGCGGAGACGACCACGGGCTATCTGAAAGCCTTGCCAATTGCCTTGTGCCATCTGTGGTTTTGATGTAATGCAGAGTATTGTGCTTGACTACTCTCGAAAGACCAGGCGGTTTGGTAATTTCCGGGAAGTCTAAAAGCAGGCGCGCAAATTCATTGTCAGAAACCACAGCCTTAACACTGAGTTGACTTATGTTACAGATGGAGGCAGAACAGAAAGCCTGGTAGAATCATCTCGTAACAGTTTGTTGCGGCAGTCCGGGAGTAGATTGAAATAGGCCAGAAAATTGGAGCCAATGATAGCTATCTCGACGTCTGCAATAGTGAAATTCCATCTGAATTCGCGACGGAGACCGAGATTTAATGAAAATGTGCGACTGCCATATATTTTTATACTGTTGCCATTGGCGGCACTAAGAGTATAGTCGGAAACTTTGCATTGAGTCGACAGAAGTTTCCGAGGGAAACAGGAAAGGTCGGAACCGGTGTCAAGCAAGAATTTAAATTTGGTTACCTTGTCAGTGACAAACAGGCGGCGACCAGTGAATTGACTGCAGTCAGCTAGCGCCATTACCGCTGGCTGCTCCCTTGGTTTTCCGGAATCGGATCTGACCAGGAGCACGGCCGGACATTTGACACCTTTGCCCTGGTACCGACGGTAGTACCAGCACAAGCCATGAGGCGTCGCGGACCTTGGTCTAGGGCAAGATCGGCGAGAACTAGATCTTGATCGCAAATGGCGTGTAGACAAAGCCGCTACCTGCTTACTGAGTGCCTGTAATTGAGCAATGATGGGGACCAACTCATTGTTAGAAGGCCCGAGTAGCGCAGTGGCGCACACAATCCCAGTAGATGAGGGAGTCACTTCCAAAATTTTGTCCGTCAGCTCAGCAATTTTTTCTAGGCTCAACTCAGCCTGGGCTGTCAAAGTTGCCTGGACCGTCCTAGGTAGTCTCTGGAGAAATAGTTCTCTTAAAATGGTCTCGTCTGTTAAGTTGGGGGACAGGGAGCGCAAGTGTCTAAGAAACACACTTGGTTTCCTATCACCGAGATCTTTCCCAGAAATAAGCTGCCTGATTCGCTGAGCTTCGCTGGTCGAAAACCGCTTAATCATTTCAGCCTTAATCCAATTATACCGCTGGCCAAGAGGGGCTGGATTAAAAACCTAGAATCTATCTGTGATACCACGTAGTTGTACTTCATTTCATCCTGAGTAATCGCTGATAAAGCGAACTGAGCTTCTATGTGAGCAAACCATCCGGCTGGTCGGTCAAACCAAAATGGGGCTAATTTGGGGCGAACACCATATGCCGCTGGAACGAGTGATAGTTGCTGAGCCTCTGAGGAGGAGGAGGAGGAGGAGGGGCCTGCGCGGGGAGGTTCATCCGCTAGTCTAGCTTTGAGCTCAGTGTTCTGTCCAAATAGTAACTCATTTTGAGCCGCGAGCTTCTCAAGTTGTGCCTTCAATTCATTCATAAGAACCACACCTCAGTTCGGGTAATAGGGTTAGTGATAAAATATTAAAGAAAAACACTTACCGGCAGGAAGTCAAGTCGGAAAAAAAAGTTAAAAAATACAATAAATACAAAATCCAAACGGCCGATGGGCATGTGACTCGTCGTGACCACTGGTAGATGACGTAGAACGCACGTTCGCACGTAACTGCTCACAAGTCGCAGTTACCCAAAATGTCGGAGCCGATCCTCCATGGAAACTCCAGCGAGCGTTAAAAAGGAGTATGAGGCCTCCAATTTGTATTACTTCATTCTCTTCATTGTATTTTGAAATTTTTGTAAACTTTTATTTCTTGAGAAACGTAAAATCAAAGTCGTCGGACTTTTCACGCAAATGTTCTCACACCGCCACGGTGTCGACCGACTGGACTCAGAGATTCTGTTAGACCTGTCGTAATTCGCAAACTAGTTAACAAGCCAAAGTCCATTGAGGCACCCGGTATTATTGGTCTTCCAAATGTTGTTAAAAACATGTCCATTTGAAGACATGTTCTGTTATAATGTTTTCTTAACAAAAAAATTCAAAGAACATTTCAGACATTTGAGAGTTAGGATATTTTCCCTCTACTTTAAAATAGACCAAAGTAATAAACAGTGAATAGTCATGAAAACCATACCAAAACGATGATATATACATTATTATATGGACAGCACTATTACGGAGAGATATCTGTGCAAGACAGCAGGGTAGTTATTTATTCCTCGTTGAGAGAAGTCATGGTGGAGCTGAAGAACTTGTTCTTAAGTCTCGTCTCTCAGTGGGGAGATAACAATCTGGTCGATTTCAACGCCACCAAAACGTAGACCTGTCTATTTTCCCCCAAAAGAGTCCCACTTTTCAGCGTATATCTGTCCCTGTTACCAACTGCCTGAAGCTTCTTGGCATAACATTGAGCGCTGACCTTAACTTGACGCTAATATCGAATCTAAAGCACAAATTGCAGCCGAAAAAGTGGCAATCCTATGGTTCAGCGAAATCTCAACTTGAGGCTCTTGATTCGATTGACACAGGGCGAGGAGACTTATTGGCGACGATAAACTCGAATCTAAACTTCATACTTTTTAGTTTTCTTCCGTCAGTTTTTCAGGTAGTTCTGTAGTTTTCTCCAGAATATATTTCGGTGAGTGTGCCGAAGAGCTCAATCAGTTCATCGAACATCCAGACTTACGGCGGGATGTCATCCTTTACTTGGTCGATATTCCCTTCAGGCGTACTAAGCGCTTTTTATCATCTTTTATTATGCGCACAGCCCAGGAATGGAATTTCCTGCCTGTGACTGAGTTTCCGAGCACACACAACCTGAGTATCTTTAAGGTTCGACTGAGTAGGCATATTCTGGGCGAGCTCGTTCCATCGTATGAAAGATGAGTCTTTGCTCCAGGGCAAGGTAGTGGTCAAGAGCAAGTCCAAAAAAAACTATGCTGAATTTATACTGCTCCAATCTGGCCTTATGACGACATATTATGCCGGTCCAATGTGCAACAGTCTAGCAAACACCAATTATTTATAATAATCTTTGCGTGGTATGATAAATCCCTAAAAAGCTCTAATAACACATTCATCTAAAAGCTTTGCAGAAAAAATAAAATTTCCATTATTTCCAATTATATTTACACAATAATCCATACTACCAAAATACAAATACATACCTTGGTTGTTAAAAGTAGGCAAAAGTAATGAGTTTATCAGTTGGTCAAAAACTCCAGTCCTTTTGAAATGTTTTATTGTCTGTGATCATTTAAAAATAATATTTTAACACGCACTTTAAGAATAGGCGTGAAAGTTTCAAATTTATATAATTAATGAAAAGCGCCCAGGAACTGATGAATTAAAAAGGTTTCGTATTTCGTCATAATGACGCCAAGCACTCGCTTATTTACTCGTCCACCGTATATCCGACATAGCCCCTTCAGATTTTCACTTGTTTCGTTCTTTACAAAATTCCTTGAATGGACACGACTACGATAATGAAGAGACCATCAAACACACTTGAGTGTATTTTTATGTAAAGGTAGAAGTTTTCATAATAGAAGAATTCTAAATAAATAGAAAAATTAAAAAGATTGCAAGCCAACATGGCCAATACTTTAATCTAACGAAGTTTGATTTTTTATTTCATTTCATATTTCATTTATAATTTGATACCGCTCGGAATTTTTGGCCAACTCTTGTGTACGCAAATACTTAAAACAGATACAAATTACCCCATCACTTATTCCTTAGCCGATGACGATACTTACCTAATGGCGGCGGACCGGTATAGCGGTGACCGCTCGTCTCAAATTTTTGTGCGGATACCTAGCATCAACAAATGATAGTAGTAAATAAAAGTGTAATCACGTTCTAATATAGGTATTGCTCACTAAAAAATACTGACAATATATGTTATAAATTCAATACATTTTATAAAATTGTCAAATATTTGATGTCCTATGATAAAATTCATTTTTTTATAATTATCAAGTTACGAACGGGAAGAACATGTCGTACTCTTGATAATAAGCAACACGCCGCCCACAACATTTGAAGTAGGTGCCACTCAGGGCTTTAAACCGCGTAGATTTACGGACGACGGGCAATGACAATGCGCGCATCACCTTGCGCCAAAAATTTCAGGTACAATTTAAGGACTTTATCTAGAAAAATGAGATTACAAACTTAAAAGTAATGCGAATAAAGACTAACACAGTTCATTTGACAGCACTAATAAGAAGACGAGTCGAAATAATTGAGGAGATTGGTGCGAATTCTACAAAGATTGTTGTCGAAAACATCAATGTGTCAAACTAGATACTAGTATACAATCATTGTAAGTTCGGCACATTCTAGTCAAAGGATTATAAAAGAACGTATTATTTATATAATAAATATGTAACACAAAGGTTTTAGGGAGACGGGGATTAGGTTTAATGTTAAAGTAAATGTGAGATAGCATACTAGGAGAAACAAGGGTACTATGTAAGAGCTTGTGCAAGAGAACTATGTCCTGTGTTTTACCTCCTGTGTTTTTATCTTTAAATTCGAATTCAGTTTTTTCATTGTTGAACAATTATATTGTGACATCATCTGTGAACATAATAAGTATTTTATTTATTTTATTTTTATTTTCATTACTTTTGGAAAGCTTACAGCTAGGTAACAAGGATAAAAAAAGTATAATACATATCTATAATACACGCCTGACAGACCAGTGCGTGTATGCTGATGGCCAATTAAAAGTTTCCACAGATAACCTCCTGCGACCCAGGACTCCAAAAATTGTTGTAAGTCCTCGATTTTTGGTACAATGAACAGTGATGAAGACTTAGAGAAAAATAATAAATTCTTTCCACACCACAAAAGTCAAAAAGGGGGGTATCACAAGTGCTATACACATACTGCGGGTTCAACTCAGAATAAAAAAGGATAAATGAACATGGTTTATGTGTTATTGAGGAATATACGGCATTTCATTATTGTAAATTTTATAGAGAAGAGGGCCCAATACGTACCATGTAGCACTCCGTCCGCACATGTTGTGAGGTATGATTATTTTTGTATAGTTTGTACTAAAATTATTTTTATTATTATCATCACCACCATCGGAGTCAATATTATTATTATTTATATTCACCTTGGAGTATATCTTTGGTGCATATTGACTTGGTGAAAGAATCCATTCTCCTTAAAACTGCACGATGTGAACCTTTACATTTAGTTTATTTATTTATTTATTAGCAACACTAACATTGTGTTCACAACACATTCTTATCCTATTTGACTTAGGATTCGCTCTGGGCCTTTTGGAGGGAAAAGTGTCGTTTTTATTTTGACTTTCAATTATTTTGTGAAATCTAGTTTGAAGTGGAATAGGATACTGCTATTGTGCCTTAATGGAAGATTAAAACGCGATATTATACGAATCTCGAACTAAAATACCCGTATCGGCCCATTCTAAGGAATCCCGAGTCAATCCAAGCACGCCGCCTCAAATTGCCTATCCTCTTTGTGGTGGCCATATTTACAGAAATATAATTAAACGTTTATGTTTTCGGCTGAAGGACTTTGTTTCCATGGCCAGCAATAATTTAAAAAAAAAACATTTGACTTAGGTGATCTACAATGTAAACATAACAATTACAAGTGTTGACGGCAATTTTAAAACAACATACAAACTAAATTAAATTAAATTAAAATTTTTGACAAAGTAACATACATACAAAATTTATTAAATAGCATTAGACTACACTGAGATACACTATATTGGTTATGGATTAAGACATTTGTTCTCACTAACAATTACACATAATTCACCTACATGAGAAAAACAGAGAAACATAAATTTCACATTTTTTTTATAAGCGTACAATGACGGTGTTTCAATAACAAAATTAAAAGACAACAGACAACACGATCTCAGGTACCAAACTGTGTTAGTGTGAGTGAACCACAAGTACACTCGCAGCCCACTCTCGCTAATATACTAGATGTGGCTTAATTTTATAAATTTTATTTTTGAAGCTTATTTTGTAATAAAAATTAGTATGCATTAGTTACATAAATACTTATTTTTCTCAAAATGTGCTTAATTTGTATTTGATATATTCTTTTATCTTTATG